TTTTAGTAGGATTAAAAGCTTATGTATAGTTCCTTATGTTTCCTTCATAATAAACTTAAAATACATCTTTATATATGAAATTACAGCATATTTTGGCTACTAACTAAATCTGAAAATTTAGTTTATACACATCCTTTGCAAATTTAACAACCCATACTTGTAATAATGGAATAGTAGCTTAAATATACATGTAGAAACATTAAAACCTATTATTTTTTATACTAAAACAATAAAATTCAGATTACAAAAATCTGGAAATTTAATTTAAATTTTAAACTTGATACTTTAAAATGCTATTAACATAAATTAATCATAACGGTCATGTAGTGTATAGAAAACTCTAAGAAACATGATTTAGAATGCTTTAAATCCCCAAATCTTTATTTTTAATAATCTGAAAATTTAGTTACCACATTAATCCTTCGTTAAAAATCTAAAACTGCCCGAAAATCATATTTAGAGGCTGAATTTGGTCCGAAAACCAAGAGTAGTGAGTTTTGATTAAAACGTTGTTTACACACGAAAAACACTATTTTTTTGCAAATATCGGACGAGTTAAAATCTAAACGTGATTAAGAGAAATTAAGAACGGAAATCAGAAGTTGATTACGAAAAGCTGAAAGCTTGTTTTTGAATTAAACATCATCATAATCATAGTAGACACAATATAATCATGTTTTAATTGAATAACTTTAGCAACACGTTTTTGAACCCTAAAACCGTGTGAATCAAGCTTTAAACCCTAATTTTCTTAACTAAATAAATCTGAAAATTCTTTCAATAAATTAAACATAATAAAAATCATAAATTTGAAATCTTTAGTATTAAATAAACACTTTTAACTCATAATAACAACAATTTAAAACCAAAAACTAATAAAGATCAAAGCTTGGAATAAACTAACAAAAGAGAGAAAGAAAGAAGGAAGAAGAGGGAAAGGGGGCTGCCGGCTGTGGGCAGCATCGCCGAAGTCAGGTGGCCGGCAGCCGACAGTTAGACAGCGTGGTGGCAGGCGGCAAAACAGAGCAGCCGTGAGGAAAAGTGAGAACCAATCTCACGTAAGGAATGAGGAAAGAAAAAGAAAGAGGAGAAAAAAAAAGAAACGGAAAATAAAAAAAGAAAAATAAAAGGAAAATAAAACAAAGAAAATAAAGGGAAAAAAATAAAGACTAACCTTTTTGTGTGGGGGGAAATTTGGGGATTCATGGGATATTTATAGAAGAGAATTGTAGGGTAGAATTGAGCCTCATGAAAATAATGGGCCAATTAAATAAACTAATGGGTTAGGCTTTGTTTTTATGATAATGGATTGTAGGATATAGGTTCATAAAACAATTTAGCTTAAAATAATTTTTTGACCCAAATTAATAATTTGAAAATTTTAAAATTAAATTCTGGAAAAATACGAATAAATATTATAAATAAAATAAAATTTCATTTATAAAATATTTAAAAATACGGGGGATTACAATCTACCCCTTTTAAAAGAAGTTTCGTCCCCGAAACTTAACCCAAAATCATAATTTCTCAAAATTATTCAAAAACTTTTGATTTGTATTGCTATAAATTGCTTGCTTCGTAACACATATATACTCAACAAACTCATATTTATATTCAACACAATCGTATACACACTTTAATAGCATGTAAACACAATAATATTGTTCAATAATAAGCAAAATCATGCAAACTTAAGCAATAAATGGCATAATTCATGCCTCTAGAAAGTACACGGCTAATACCCCGTGAACCCCAACCCCAACCCCTGATTTTGCAAGTGGTGTAGTAAGAACCACCTTGGGAGAGACTACGATGGGAATTTAGTGACTTGCAGGTTCTGTAATAAGAAAGGGCATAAGGAGTATGAGTGTTACACCAAGCTGAACCAACAAGGAAATGGTGGGAATGGTGGAAATAACCAACAGAGGTCTAGTAATTTCTATAACTAGGGAGGAAAGCGTAATGGGCTGAATGGTCAGAATGGGAAGTTTGGGATTGGTAATAATAGTGGGAACAATATTATTAATGGCAACAATGGTAATCAGGGAAGGAACAACATTCCCGCGCATTTGTCTGTAATGGGCAAAGGAGGAGATCTAGGCTGAGAAGTCCTTAGATGTGATTACTGGTACTTTTTTGTTTCACTTAACTCTTTTCTTAAGGTAAGTTACAAGGGCGTAACTCTTTTCTTTAAGAGGGGTAGAATGAGATATAACTTCGCGCTTTTTACCTCATTTATGCCATTTATTGCTTAAGTTTGCATGATTTTGCTAATTATTGAATAATATTGCTGTGTTTACATGCTATTAAAGTATGTAAACTTTGGCCAAGTACGAATTTATCGAGTATAAGTTCAGTTTGTTGAATATATATGTTGAGAAGTAAGCAATTTACAGCAATACAAACCACAAAAGTTTGAATAATTTTGAGAAATTACGGATTTAGGGTTAAGTTTCGGGGACGAAACTTTTTTTAAGAAGGGTAGATTGTAATCCCCCGTATCAATTATGATAAAAACAAAGTCTTACCCATTTGTTTATTTAATTGGCCCATTATTTTCATGAGGCTCAATTCTACCATACAATTCTCTCCTATAAATATCCCATGAATCCCCAAATTTTCCCCCACATAAAAAGGTTAGTCTTATTTTCTTACTCCTTTATTTCTTATTATTTTCATAAAGCTTATGTAATTGATTTTTGGGTTTTGGTTTTTATTGCTTGAAATTAGTTTATTTAGTATAAAAATCATGTTTTTGATGTTTTAAACTAATAATTTCATATTATAATTGTTGTTTTAATTTTCAGATTTTGTAATTTTAAACCTAGGGTTTTAATTTAGTTAAATTGGGATTTTAGGGTTCTAATGATCAATTAATTTGGGGATTTTGTTTTTAATTGAATTTTTAATGATTAGTTAAGCATAATTTTTTTTTCAGTTTTCCATAATCAAATTATGATCTCCGTTCTTAATTTTTTAATCACGTTTAGATTTTAACTCGTCTAATTTTTACAAAAAAAAATAGTGTTTTTCAAGTGTAAACGGCGTTTTAATCAAAATTCTATACCTTTGGTACTGAGCACCACCTTCTAGTGGCCAAATTCGGCCTCTAAATATGGTTTTCGGGCAGTTTTTAATTTTTAACGAAGGTTTAATGTTTAAAATAAATTTTTAGATTATTAAAGTTTTAATCTTGGGTTTAAATTGTATTGATTTCATGTGTTTCAAGTCTCTAATTTTATTAAACAAAGGTTGTGGTTATTTTATGATTATAATGTTTGAAACTTTAAAGTTTAATTGCAAGAATAAATTTTCAGATTTTTTGTTATTGTTTTTGGAGTCTTTAATTACATTGAATTGAAGAATTTTTGGGTTTAAAGTCTACTAAATTTCTATATAAATGTATGTAGTGATAAAGATTGCTTTTTTGTTTCTTGTTTCTTTCTTCTCGAATTTTCTTAAACGTTTTTCTGTTCTTGTTGGTGAATTTTTTCAATTTTAGTTGCTTGTGTATTACATTTGATTTTTTGTTCCGTTTCTTCACTACGATGTTATTATTGTATTTCATCCGTCCTGTGCAGCCGCTGTTAGTGAAGTGTCTTTCTTCGATAGTCATTTGTTAGCACTATTGAGGTCTGTTAGTTTAAGGTTGAATATTTACTTCTTGATGAAACTGTTAGATTAAAAATAAATAATGTGGACAGTGGCGGACCCACCCTTGGTCACGGTGGGTCACGTGACCTAGTACAAAAAATAAAATTAAATTTAAGAAAAACAAAACAACGGGAAGGCCGAACGAAATAGCAAGGGAAAAAAAAATTTGAAAGGGAAAAAAAACAAAACAGTGACATTACTTTCTCTCACATTCTCACGGAAATCGTCACACGCCCACACCGGCACACAGTGGCGGACCTGGGCTTGTGCCTGGAGGGCCCAAAAAAATTTTTAAGTTATTTAAAAAAAAAAAAAAAAAACTTTCTTTAGCTTCCCGAGTTACTGTCTTCCTCGCTTCCTCAAAGTTCAAACCCTAGCCTTCTTCTCTAGTTCTCTTCGCCTCTTCGCTTCATCTCCAGTTCTCCACCCAGCCACCGTTCTCTTCGCCTGCTCCGTCTCCGTGGAGTCGTGGACGGTGGACAATAACAGGAAAAGGGTAGTGAAGGGCTGAGATTTTTATTGCTCGAAAGAAAAAGGAAAGAAAAACAGGAGGCCTGATATTAGAAAAAAGATTAAAACCAAAACCGACTCCAAATACTTGCAGGTTATAAAATTGCAGTTTAGATTACTGAATTGCAAACCTCTTTCCTCTCAAATTTTCCAGAAAACCCTAATCGAAGAGAAGCAATAGAAATTGAGAAAAAACTTTAAAGAAAAATGGATGACTCTATCCCTGTTCGTCTTTTTTGTTCTATTCCTCCTCTAACTGAGTTTCGGGATGCAGATCCATGGGATAACACTAACCTCGATAAGTTTACGGACGATCTTCTAGCGAAGTGGAACGAGTAAGATTATAATTTTCCAGATTTTATCAAACTTAAGCTTTTCTTTGTCTCTGCTATTATTTAGTTTTCACAATTATGATTATTATTATTTTAAATCTATATTGTTTGAATTCTAAGTTTTTGTTTTATGGGTAATAATGATAATAATGATAATGCTGAAGTGCTGACTTGCTGAGTGCCTGAGTGATTATTTTAAATCAAATGTTGAATGATTGTTTAATTACTTATTTGGAGAATGATTTGTTTTTGAATGTTAGCATGGAAGATATCATAAATCGATATCAAAACATGAAAACTCGTCGAGAACTATTGTAATAAGTTTGCATTACTATTTAATTATCTTTTGTAGTATTATATGAACATTTGGTTGTATTTTGTACTGTTTGAATATTTAGATGTATTTTTTAGTACTATTATTTGGTTGTTTGGTAAAAAAATTTTTTTACATATTTGATTATCGATTGTGACTCACCAGTCGGAAATTCCTGGGTCCGCCACTGCCGGCACACCGCTGCCGCCGCACCATCCAGCCACCTCCCACAGCCCAGTGGCCCACCGCACGTCCGCACAGCCGCACTCCAATCCTACAGCCTTCTAGATCTAGGTAAGTTAATTGATTTTCAAGTTTTTAATTTCGTATTATACACTAATTGTTGACTTGTTAGGTTGATTTTGTGCTTAATTGAGTTGTCTATGCTATTTAATCTAGTCAATTAGTGTGTATGTTCTTTGAAATTGTTGATTTGTTATTAAATTTATCAAATTTGGGAGTTAGGGTTTCTGATTTTTTAAGAATTGATAATATTGAATTTCTGATTTTTTTTCTCTTTGAAATTGATATCATAAATTGACAATGGGCTAGTAAAATTGATGATTTCATATTTAATCTATGAAATTAGGGGGTTAAGAACTTAGGGTTTCTGATTTTTTTTGGAATTGATTAGTTTGGAAAATTGCATTTCTGATTTTTTGAAATTGATATTAGAATTGGTCAATTGGATATAGTGATTAGTCATTCTGAATAATTGCCTTGAATTTGTATATGTTCAGTGGTAAGCTCACTATTAGTGTTTTAGGCTTTTAGCTATAATTTATTATCAAGTTAGTGTGTATAATTAACTTGGATTTTTGAAGCAATTGTGGTTTTCTTAATCTAATTGATAATGTAACTTAATTTTCAGAATGAAAAGGAAAAATTATGTGATATCACAAGTTTCTTTGGTCCGAAAATCCCTCCTCCTCCACAAAATCCTCCTCCTTCACAAAATCCTTCTCCTCCACCACAAATTATTAGCTTTTTTAATATTCTTGCATTATTGATTAGTATACGGTAGTGACCCGCCACTGAATGTGGGCATGTTTGGTTTAAATGTTGTTTGTGTTTTTAATTTCTTTCATGTTTTGTCGATTTTCATTGATCAAACATACATTCTTAGTATCTTGTTCGTGTATTTATTTTATTTATTTAATTTCATAACCCATCCTTAAAAACTTTATAATTCATCTTGCAGGAACTTGATCCATCCCTTAATAATGTCAGGTACTGCACATGATGATGATGCTGCTCATGAACAGAAGAGTTCTGAGAGTTCTGAGAGTAGGATATTGAAGCTTTATACAGAAAGGTTCAGATCATTTGCTGGTAAAAATGGAAAACAGCCTCCACCTTATTCAGATGGAATTCTCACTCCTCCTTGGCACAAGGATAGTCGTTACATGCTTAGGAAACCACGAGATGAATCCTACATTGATGCTGCATTCCGCTCCAGCTGCACCAATGAAGTCTTTATGTTCACTGGTTTTCATTACTTTGTTGTCAAGTATGATGCCCAGTCCTACTCACAAAAAGAAGCGAATGAGAATCATGTCATCACCAAATCCCCACTCTTGCTCATTGATGGTTTTTATGAACTTTATGGTTGTACTGGATTTCGTGAAGGTGGAGTTGATGCTGCTTTTGGTTGTTACGGTACTAATAAAGCATTTCTCTTTTCGAGGACATGGGTTGCAAAGATAGAATATGACTCTGACAATGAGGGTCAGGTTCTTGAACTTCAAGGTATGCGAGGGTGGTTTATGTCTCCAGATGATACAAAGTTTTCTCGGGGATACTTGGATGCTGCTTGTGAATCCACCGTGCCTAATGAAGCTTACTTGTTTAAGGGCTCCGACTACGCCCTCGTTAATTACGCTAATCAGTCTCAGTTAACCCTCATCAAAGAAGGTCGCATAACAGACGAGTTCACTTGCTTGTGCAACACACCGTTTGAAAGTGATATTGGATCTGCCTTTGCTTCGCACAAATTTAATCAGTTTTACTTCTTCAAAGATAACACTTATGTGCTCATTGAGTTTGACTCTAAAGCCAAGGAAAGCCGCATAATTGCAGGTCCTGAGGAAATTGTACCCACCAACTGGCCTTGTTTAGTAAGTTATCTGCCTTACCAGAAGTATAAAGAAAACCCTTTAACTATACAGCCCAAAACATGGAAACCGATTTTCGCGGGGGGTTTCTCCACCGTGTTCCCCTTGCAAACGACTCTCTTGAAAGAAATAGTTCTGAGAGGAAGGTGGAGGATTATGCTCCTGATGCCTCAGGAAGTAGCTCTAAGAGTATGCCTGGCCCCAATGAGGCATCACTGGAATATACTGATGGTCCTTTTGACGACTTTGAAGCCTTAAATAGGAGGTTATGTGACTTCTCTGATTATGGTCTGGATTCTAGCACTTAAGGTTGGTATGCATTCAGAGTTCGGTAATTTTGTGGTTTAGTTTGCTTCTTCTATTCTGTTTGTTTAGCTTCATTCATTTATGAATAATTTAAGTTTATGCTAGGTATGCGAAATCATGAAATGCTGGAGGTTGCTGCTTGGGGTTTCTGGTCATGTTTTGAAATACTGTTAGACAGGCTCATGCTGCATGGCGGATGATGATTCACTTTAGTTTTGCCAAAAGACAGCAAGTAACGGGGTATTTATGTTTCAAACGTTTGAAGTAGTGATCTTAGGATCTTTATTTCTCTTGTGGTAGAATTCCAGTTTTTATGTTATTGTTCATCAGTTTATGTAACATAATAGTTTTGCTATTGGGTTTAGACTTTACCAAACACAGCTAAACTAATGTCTTTGAAATACTAATCAAACCTTTGAATCTCGTTGGCTTGTTTTATTGATCGTGGGCTTTTAATTTATTTATGCTTCGAGGTATCTATTTGGTTTTCGGTTTGGATTTAGGCCAAATTCAATCCAATTCGAAATAATATTTGGTTTTTGATTTTCAAATCCAATCCAATCCGAATTTCGCATGAATCCAATCCGATTGAGATTCGAATTAACATTCGGTTATTTGGATCCGATTCGAAAATCCGAATTAAAAATATATTGCAAATTTTTAGGGATAAAAGTGATTATAAAAATGAAAATGCAATTATAAAAAGCTTAGTCTTAAATAGGTAGTTGTACAAGATTAATACAAATATTAAAAACATAATTTTACATAATTTTATATTAATGTGATTATCAACATAATTTTACATGATTTATATAAAGTATCCTTATTTGTGAAGACATGGTTTCATATTTCGGTTAATTCGGATTTTTTGGATCCAAACAAGGTCAATCCGATTCGATCCGAAAATCTGAATTTTCAAAATAATTCGATCTGATCCGATCCGAATTAATAATTCGGTTTAGATTGAATTGGATTTCGGTTTTTATCCGAATAATGGACACCCCTATTTTTGCTATCGTTGCATGATTTAATTAGGTATGGTTATTAATTTACTCTTGTGTGTAATTTTACTGTGTAACCGAATAAGGTTGAGTATGTTTTTATTAAATGTGAATTAATCTGATCACGAACAAGGTGGTGATTGTGAATAACATTGTGGTACTTTTCTGATATGAATTGGTTAAGTTAAAAGTCTTAGAACTAGTTGGTGCCTTTGTGGGTCCGATTGTCGCCTTTTCAACCGATTTGACTAATAGCAAAGAGTTATGATTATGGTTTTATGTCTAGCTGCACACGGCGCGCATCAGAGTCGGTGATTTTCGGGTTATATATATACTCGCCTATTTAAATTTGAAGCGTTAGAATTAGTTTTTAGAGTAACAAAATATTGTTAGTAATTTAGAGTGTATGTCTAGAGAGCCTTCTCCAAGGGGTGACGCGCCCGCGGTGGCTGGGGAGAGCCCTCTCCAAGGACACGGCCAGCCTTCTCCAGAATTCAGAGGGTGAATTGGATTTCACCCTGTCCGCGCCCGCGGCCAAGGAAGCCTCGCCCGCGGCCCGCGACAGTTTGCGGTTTTTGTTCTTTTTATTGAAAAATTAAAAGAAGAAAGAAGATATACAGTTTTCTAGCTCTTCCTCTCCGGTTTTTTCTCCACACTTTTCATTGAAGAAACTTGCAATCTCTTCATTAAAAACTCTATCAATTAAGTCTTCATTTGAGAATTTATCATCTAATTACGATTCATAGTGCTAAGATCGTAGTGTTGTCTTTTATATCTCAAAGAGAATTTCCAGTAAAACCCAAACACCGTTGTGGGGGAAATTAATCTCTTTAGGAAAGTGTTTCACACGCCTAAGACAAAGTATCAAGGTTTGAGACTCACGTGGTCATTGAAATTCTCATATTCATATTCATTTGAAAGGCTTGGAAGTGAGGCAAGTTTATAATCTTTCATATTAGTTAATTTCATTGCAATTTCTGTAATTCTTTGAATTAATAGTGCTTGGTTTGAATACAATCGTTTGTATTGTTTTGGTTGTATAATTTTTATAATATATACTGTTTTAGGTTTTGTTCCCACATTTTTAGTATTTGATTTATACTAGTAAAACCTGACAAATATTTAGTGATAAAAGGTTTAGTAATAATATTTGTAGTAATAACTAGTTTATGAGCCCGGGCGTTGTCCCGGGGTTAATGAGTTATTTTGTTTATTTTTTTTTTCCCCTTATTGATGGGCCGATTTTTTCATTGTTGACAATTAGATTTTGTTGTGGTTGTTTGCTTTATTGAAATTGTTAGACGTCGTTGATGCTCGGATTAAATATAAGTTCGTAGTTAAGCGTTTGTTAGTAGTCGTTAACATATTTATGCAAGAGTTAATGATATCGTTTAGAATTTGTGATAATGTTGGTGATTAGCCAGGTTAATAAGGATGGAAAAGCGAGTCATTTGGCGCCTTTTTCTTGCATAATTACCACCTTCATACAAGTATAATACAACGAAGGACTCGCTTTAATTTCACCATATCATTCATTCAAATCGTCACCTCTTACATCACACGTCTCCACTATTCAGTTTTGGTGAGGATATGAAGGTTCAACACAAAATGCATAAACTATCTCTATAGACGGTGTAATATCAAGGATCTTATGCCTGTTGTTCAAGTATATACCATAGCTGTTCTCTAGTCCAATAATTTTGTCGCATTAGAATTAGTGCCTAAACACTCAATCGAAATGAAAGGCAAAAATATATACTTCCTCCGTATCTAAATATCCGCAACAAAAAGGTATTTTTTTTTTTTTTGAAAAATATAATATTCTTTTGTTGCAAACATTTAGATACGGAGGAAGTAGTACTGCTTCTTCTAAGTACTCAAATGATATTGATGAATAAATATATAATGGGAGCGAATGCAGTTGTGAGAGTAAAATGAAATCATTTTTTACACTTTTCAAACATTTGGGATATTGCAGAGTGGAAATTGTTGACTGTAGATGGACAAAGGGAAGTAGCTGTTTGTGCAGGTCAACAGATCTTATATCTTTACATACCAAAATGGCCACCTCTTGGCCTCAAAATATGAACAATTACATAGATATTAATTCAAAAATGTCTATGGAGAAGAGTGACAGAAATAAGAAAACAATTTCCTTTCTATTTAGGATTGTGAAACATATATGCAGATACTCATACAAACAGCTCATATGAACATATGGTTCCCAAACAGGTAACCAAAATGAAAAGCAAAACAAAGAGAAGAAGAATGATGGAAAAGGAAACAAAAAAGAAAAAGAAATGAAAACTGTTACAATATGCTTTGTTCCTGTATCTACTAATCGACTTTGGATGAATTGGTTTTGGGAACAAAGTTTCAAGGATGTTATTCATTACATTTGTCGTATCTAATTTACAAAAAAAAAAAAAAAATATTCCTAGCTGTGAAATCTCCCTTCAAAATTCAAAGTCCAAAGAATTGTAGTCATATATACTTTGCAGACAATCACCTGCGCACTAAAACTAAAATCACATCAGCACATGGTACAGAGAGTATGGAAAAAGGGTCCCTGAAACATAGAGATGTTGTGACATGGAGAGGAAAGACGAATAAGGTGCAAATACCAATCAAGTAGAATCAGTTTGTATTCTCACTCATCACAACCTAGCGTTGCTAGATCCGGATGCAGTAGATGATAACATAGGCTGAACAGTATCTTTTGCATCTACATTAACGCCTTCGACCAGAGGAAGAGAACAAAGACTAAAATAACAAGTCTACGAATCACCTTCACTACTAAATTTTTGAGCCACGAATTCATCAAGATGCCCCCAGTTTGCTACACCAGACTTGCTAGCAATATCAGTCGGTAGCAATCCAAGAATATGTTGGATGTTTTGGTAAGCCTGCAACAGTCATATAATTTAGATAGATGTATACAAACCAGATTCTCACAGCACCATAATGCTAATATAAGAGTACCTCGATTTTGCTTGCGGAGTGCTGATCTCCAAGCGTGAAAATGCTTCTGAAATTTATGTATGGAAAATTATGACCAGGCCATTTTCCTGCATATGGAATTCAGAAGTTATCCTGAAGTTCCCAATATCTATGGATTATGCAGGAAACCTATTGATAATGGATCCAAAATTTTCTGTAAAAAGAAATGAAGGGTAACAGTGCATTCAACCAAAAGCAGCTTGATAAGCATGACGTGATGGTCAACAGTTGAGTAGGAAGAACCTCCAAAATATTAACGACTAAATGTAAACTTTTGTTATTTCTCCTTTCCACATAAGCTATAGATTTGAATCAAAGAAAATTAATGGATAATGTTTGCTAGCTCACTTAGCAACAATACTATGGGGCTGTTTGATGCATGGTATTCATGAAGGAAAAAGAAATTATCCTCCCCAATCCCATAGTGTTGCTTCACCACATTCTTGTTTCCTATTCTTGAGATGAATAAAAAAAAAAAAAAAAAAAAAAAAAACAGAAAACCAATATACTGTATGTGTGTGTGTGTGTGTGTTTATATGGGATGCAATTTCCAAAATTACTCTACAAACTTGGCCACTATATAACACACCCTATCACACTACTGACACCACCTCCACCAACAAACTTACACCTCAATCAATCGTCAATAATTTAGCCGAAAACTTCACTTGTATCCACTGCCACCATTCCTTAACTACATCAACTAAGTAAAACTACCCTAAATGCTGCCAGAAAGCCCACAACCTTAAACCACTTCAACAGTCACTGCCACGAGGCCCACAACCATCACTGCTGAAAATGGAGGGTGGGAGAGTCAATGGGGAGGTTACAATAGCATGATTATGGCAGAATATAAGGTTCTACAGTATCTAATGTGCTCATTTCCTACAGCAACTGCTGTAGAAAATGAGCACATAACTGATTGATCATTGTAGTAATCAATAATTGGTCGACCGTCAAAGTCAATCTTTATTAATGAGAATACCAGTCTAGTATAAAGCCAAAAAGTACAAAAGAAACACACCTGTTACTTCTTCTCCTCAAGTTTACTCATCAGCTATGTTTATCTATCAATGTTGTGGTTTGCTTGATTCCTTGCTATACCAATCAGGCTGTTTTTTCTTTAGTTCCAAATCATAGATCATCTTCCCTTGATCCGCTAGTATCCTCTAAGCGTGATCCCAAGCAATGCACTTGTTAAGAATCAACTAAGGATTTTTATCAGGTGACAATTAAACTAGCTTGTGAACCATTATTGAACCAGTATCCCACGGCGCGCAATGCACGCCGCGGTCTACTTTGGTATGGTCTATATGGCTAAGTAGTACTTCAATGACACAATAGATTATAGCAGCATATAATTACGCATGATAACGAGTCTTTAAGTAATCAGTGCATTTAGAAAAGGCTACATTACATGATAACAAGTTTTTTCTCAACAACAATTGTAATAGTCTCTTGTAATTGAATATCCGTCGGTGTACATAATTGTTGATAGAAAGAAGCATAGTAAATTCTATGGTGCAAAACCTATTTGAAGCCTTCACTTCTGCTGTCTACCAGGTTTGTCTCGTCTCTGCTTACAGTGCAAAGCAAGTTCAGAGGATAATCTCTAACTACATTTCCTTACTTATTATACCCCATATTTGTTCTCATCTTGGACCTATCCTTGCTTCCATCCCCTCTCCCCTTAACCCTCTCAGTCTCATGTCCCTTGATCTCATTCTCGCCCCAAAAGCTCCTAATTTACAATTTACAAATATAATATAATTGGCAGCTAATCTCATAAGATTCAACTGAATAAACTCCAACAGATTTCACAGAGCTAATCTCATAAAAACTAACAAACCAAAAAATGTTAGAACATGCACCAAGGTTTTCATTTTTACTCTAAACCCTGTGTTTATCCCCTCTTTTTCTCACTCCTCATAATTTATTTCTTTAAAAACATTCAAATCAATTCAGCCATCATTCACTTCTACTATCTACTAGGTTTGTCTCTACTTACAGTGCAAATCAAGTTCAGAGGATAATCTTCCCTACATTTCCTTACTTATACCCCAAATCTCTTCTCATCTCGGACTTATCCTTGCTTCCATCCCTTCTCCCCTTAACCCTGTTAATCTAATGTCTCTCGATCTCATTCTCGCCCTCAAAGCTCCTAATTTACAATTTACAAATATACTATAACCGGAAGCTTATCTCAAAAAATTCAACTGAAGAAACTCCATCATATTTCAGAGACCTAATCTTATAAAAACACACAAACCACATATCCTCAAAACATGCACCAAGGTTTTCAATTTTCCTCTAAACCCTGTGTTTTTCCCCTCTTTTTCTCACTCCTCATTATTTATCTCTTTAAAAACATTCAAATCAATTTAGCCATCATTCAATTCTGCTATCTATCAAGTTTGTCTCTACTGTCAGTGCAAAGTCAGAGGATAATCTCTCACTACATTTCCTTACTTATACCCCAAATCTGTTCTCATCTCGGACCTATCCTTGCTTCCATCCCTTCTCCCCTTAACCCTCTTAATCTTACGTCCCTTGATCTCATTCTCACCCCTAAAGCTCCTAATTTACAATTTACAAATACAATATAATTGGCAGTTAATCTCCTAAGATACAACTGAAAAAACTCCAGCAGATTTTAGAGAGCTAATCTCATAAAAACTCAGAAACCAAAGATCCTAATAACATGCACCAAGGTTTCCAATTTTACCCTAAACCCTGTGTTTCTCCCCTTTTTTTCTTAATCCTCATAATTTATATCTTTGAAGACATTCTAATCAATTCAGCCATCATTCACTTCTGCTATCTACCAGGTTTGTCTCTACTTACAGTGCAAAGCATGTTCAGAGGATAATCTCTAGCTACATTTCCTTACTTATACCCAAAATTTGTTCTCATCTCGGACCAATCCCTGCTTCCATCCCCTCTCCCCATAATCCCCTTAATCTCACGTCCCTTGGTCTCATTCTCGCCCCTAAAGCTCCTAATTTACAATTTACAAATATAATATAATTGACAGCTAATCAGCACATTGGCAGCTAACTGGCCGCGGTCAACTTTGATATGTTGTGTATAGTGGATGTGATAATGGGCTATAGCCTTATAGCTAGGTAATAAATTGTTTAGTAAGTTAGGCTTAATTGTTCCAAAAATAGGGGAAATTTTAGTTACTAATTACAATTATAACTTTGGTAGAATATGTAGCTAAATATAAGGGGTAGAATAGTAGAGCTATTTCCTTCATTTTCTCATCTACTTCCTGATTTAATAGCAAAGATAATGATCTCTGTTAATTCTACAACAGACAAGAGAGGAAATTAGAAGATATCGCACACCGTGTTCAACCTTGATATGCTTTAATTTTATATTATGGATGCAATAATGAATTATTGGTAATAAATCGTTTAGTAAGTTAGTATAAACTATGCATAATTGTTTCAAAATAGGAGAAGTTACAATTATTGATTACAATTACAACCTAAGCTGAATAAGTAGTAAAATATGAAGGGACGAACTATAGAGTTATTTCCTTCAATTTCTTATCCACTCGGTGACCGAATAGCACAGATGAAGTGATTAAACTTTTTGCAATAGACAAAAGAGTATATTAGAGAAGATAATAGATATTAGCAATAAGTATAAATGGATTATGAAATGAAGAAATTGAGTAATGGAATAATATTTTGTATATTGGTGCATTAAAAATGGATCATATGATTAAATATAGACTATATGACCAAGGATATGCCAAAATATACTTGAAGTGTTAAAGAGAATGACAAACATAAAAGGCATAACAAGAATAATAAACAAATAGGTAGTGCAAGAAATATGCTGAAAACGAGGAATTTCTATGTTAAACACGCAAGATTCCTCACCCCTCCATTTGCAAAATATGAAGGTAGAGTATAACAAATCTTGGAAGGTGAAAGGAAAAAGTAGATAATCAAACTCCAATGTTTTAACAACTCTAATTTTTAACCTTACTTCTATATTCCCAACGGATAGCTTTGCCAAATTTCTTAATTCAATGTTTGACCTTGGATTAGCATGTAATTTCTTCATAGATCCAGGTTTGTATCTCCATATAAGTTATTAAAAAATAGATGATTTATTATGTATATAAATATATCATCAATTCATACTGTTGAGTTTTGGAACAAGTGAATTATAAAAGAAAACCAAAAATGACATGTAAGCTTACATCATTGGCGTGCCTTCATCAGAAAGATGAGGTGCATCTTGACTGATTCCTTTAGAAAACTGTGCAGCTAGTTCCATCAGGAAAGCAGATACAAGGAGTAAAACTGAAAGAAGTACAATATAAGGACTTAGATACTATGAATACCATTGAAAGCAAAAGAGATCACGGCTATGTGAGCAATACAATCCACAGCAAGTACTACGGAAATAACAGACTACTACATACAAGATCCCATCCAAGCCTATCCAGTTGCAAACAATGACCCAAACAGTTGACCAAGTGTAGCACCCGCACCAATAAACCCAAACAATATTGAACCTGACTGGATATAAGTCCAAGTTACAATCTCACAGAAGTCTAAATTTAAAACTTATCAAGGGGATAGTAACTAACCTCACTATCCATAACATCAATCACTCTTGCCCACGTTGAAGAGATAGTAATCAAATTCAATAAGCAATTTTCAATACCCAAAAATGCAGATATATTAGACTCGTATAATATCACAGATTGAGATAAAATTTCCCTCTAAGATGTAACATTATCATACCCAAAGGAATAGGCCAATTCTCACTGAGATGTAATACCAAGAATGAGTATCCCAACCTGAGTGCATGACATTGGCATAACCAACATCAGAGTTTTGATCATGTCCTGAAGGCACATTAATTGAAACCTATGCATCCAAAGGGAAACCAAAAAGAACCAATCTGTAAAGCTTGTGTCATAGGATCCCAAATATCATGAAGACTGCACTCCAGAAGAATTGTTCATAGATAAGTAAATTGCTAACCTTCATATTGGTATTGATATTGGTATCTCCAGTCGTTGACGTATGCCAGAGGATGAAAAATACCACGAGTGAAAAGCTAAAAAATCTGTGTGTCAACACCAAAGCCTGAAATTTCAAAACTCACTTATGAATGGAGTGAGAACAGCTTAAATCATGGAGTGCATTTAAAAGCTTGGAATCACTATTGGGACACAGCAAGTAACATGTCTGAGATGATAAACCAACACCCCTTCGTTTGTCTATAACCATCAAAATCATTTTTCAGTTACTCATGGTTGAAAAGACTTGAAACAGATAAAGCGATAGGTACTTGCACACCGATACAATTTGAACCTTTATTTCACTAATGAGCTCACATTCAGTATGTTTGATGTCAAGTTACCTGTGATAAATCTGGAAAAAACGAGAAAACAGATAACTCACATCTCTGAAGCACAAATTCAGCAACAAAGTATAGCTTGATTACAAAACTTTGGACGAAAAGGTAGCACCATTAAATTGGGTTTAATATCATACCTACATACAACAAATGATGGAAAGGACATCATGTTTGAAACTAAAAAGAGAATAAAATGCAGAAGAGCATATCCACATGAATGTACAGCTGATAAGCAATTGCAGCTTAAACTCAGACAAGCGATTGCAAGCAACCTAAAACAAGGTCAACATTAATGTTTCCCAAACTTATCCTACCTCTATATACAAAAGCTTCGATATGAAAGTCCAGTATCATCACTCAAAAGTGAGATATTCCCCATAACGCTTCGCAAGATGCTTTTAAGAGCCATCAGCTAAAACAGAATTAATCGTCTCCATCTTCTGATGATGGGTCTTCAGAGCCTCAGCCTGCTGCTCTGAAAATTTTTCATCCTCTTCTATCTGTTTCTGCCACAAAATAGGAACATACACCCAAATATTAGTATTATAAACACTACGAGTTTATGAAAGCATGGTTTTCAATGAACTGAAAGCTGATACATGACTATTCAGATGAAAAGAAAGGCCAATTCCACTCGATTCAGAGAAAACAGTTTCTCTTATTTGGGAAAGGAAGTTGAAAATGAAGTAAAAAGGCGGAGTCTGAAAGAACAGATGCCTTTTCATCTCGTTGAATAAAATGTTAACGACTTGTTTTACTTCATAAGAGCTTAAATCAACCTGCATTACCCTCCTTCGCCAGACCAAGTTTCGATACAGATTAACACCACTTTTCATGGAAATCAATATGAAAAGTTTATTGAAGATCATATAAAGCATGCCATCAGAAACAGAACATTATGCCCAAAATAAAGCATAACTCATTAACTCCAATGATCAAAATTGCCAATACCACCTAGCCACATAAGAGTATACAAAATCAAGACACAAAACAACTTCCCCAAGCATCACTTAATCCAACTTTACCTCAAGATTTTGGGGAAACAACATTTTCAACATCCAATTATAATATCTAACAAAATGAACTAATTAGGGAAATGGGTACTTGAAGATTGTGCTCTACAGCTGGAAACCTAATTATGAAAGCCTTGACTACATCTGCTTTCTGCCGCTATTACAATAATATTGATTTGAATACACAGTAATACAACACTTGAAGCATTCAATCATACACGCAAAAAACCCACATCCATCGCATTCCAAACACTGGTATAATCAACAAAGCACCAAACTTTATACATTTAATTGTAAAATTAAGCAATAAAAATCCTTACATAAAATTAAAATTAAAATCAAAATTACAAAAATCAAAGAGTACCCTTTTCGAGATTTTTGACATTCTTCGAAAAGAGGGAGAATGCAAGAAAACAATATATCTGAGTTAGAGAAAGGGAAAAAAAAGTATCATATTAGTGATAAAATGACCCTCCGTACAAGAACTAAACTATATATAAGGGAGCCATCTAACGATAATTAAACTGCCAAACAATTTGGAACTTTGGACTTAGCTAAAGCCTACAACATACACCAAAGACAAGTCACAAATCCCAAGATACATACAATGCCTGAAAAGTAAACCTGCAGTGTATAAGAGAAGACATAAACAACTAATAGTTGTCCATGCTGATGAAGGCAATGAAGTTAATTTAATTTCTGTAAAAAAAAAGTTACTAATAATTACTGCAGGATTTTATGACCTTTAATCCTTTGATGCTCCAGATTTGGAATCTGATGCATTTTCTTTTGGTAACGGGATCGATGGTCTCATCTTATAATCAGAGTGTTGAGGCAGCTGGGTTGATTCCTGCTGCTGTAACTGATACTACTGGAGCTGATGAAGTTGGTGGTGTTGAAACTGATGCTGCTGCTTCTGAGAATGAATTTGTAGCTGTTGAAACTCGTGGTTGTCTCTCACCAGCAGTTGACTCATCTATCCCAACCAACCTGCACAAAAAGGCAGATGCAATTTAAAGAGCTTTGAGGAATTCTAGAGTGCATATGCTATGTTTTTCTAATCCATATACTTATAATGATAGCCAAAAGGCTTTGGTAGAGTTTTTGGTTGCAATTTCTTAAAGGATGAGCCCCCTTATGAAGCTACACTCTCTAAATTATGATTAGCCTTAAATTAGGTAGTAATTTAAGCACCTATGGTGCATAGCTTAAGAATCTTTTAAAGAGCATATTAACAACAAACTCTTCTGATACACACTTTTAACTAAAATTTAGCTTATGTAACTACCTTTAATTTTATGAAGTGACTGAGGAAGCATGATGAATACAAGTAGCAACAAATTGTTGTTTCAACTAAAATTTATAAGTGTATTATCAGCACCTTAAACCAATTTTACAAGACACTGAGATGGAACGCACTCATAATCACTATTACTATAACTTAGATCCAGAAGATGCATGCCTGAATGAAGTTAATAAATGAATCTAAGATAGCTATTGGCCTCTCCAACTGCATGTACGAAGTATTCCCAATCGTCACTAAACCAGATAACCTCTTCTCAACATTCTTTTCAGAAGAATTATAGATGGTGAATACTGTAATAAACGCAACATTCTCTCCGGATTTTGGGCTGTTAGGGACAGCATATTGAGTTTTGTTCAAGGCTTTCGTGCCTACATAGAAGCCCCAAAAATTTTGAGCTACAACGAGTCAGTGACTATGAAGCCAATTAAACTTAAACATTAATATGAGAAATTTAAGGCCATTTACATACAGCTCCTACAACCATCATTACTCAGCTTCCATGCATTTTCATTTAACCAAAGGTCTAAGGTACAGATGCAGTCCAATCAAGCACAGATCGGAACACAGTTTAGATAGGATATTCTAGAACATCACAGTGATACCAGTAAATAGTAGTATTACGTTCTTCAAACCCTTGAGTAGAAGAAGCCTCCTTTTCCCTCCTAGATAACTCAGCCAACATTTCTGCATATTTTCCAGAACAACAGAAGATTAGTCATCTACTACTATAAGTTCTGAAGTATCAATTATATTTATTAGTTGTTAATTATTTACACAAAAGAGATAGAAAATGGACGAACCATAACGATATCCGACACCCTGCAATCTGGCAGCATAGGCAAGAGTTTCTCTGATAGTCATATTCAGTGTCAGCAACATATATGTTTCCCCTGTCATCGACAGCAGCACCTTTAGGATGGTTCATCCTCGCTTCCCTATGTTTCCCATCAACATGTCCAGAGTATCCTTCAGCTGATCCAGCAATTAGCTTTAGTCTACTGTCTGCATTATTATACCCATGGAATCACATTCAGAATCCATCAAAAATAAGAAATCGACATTACAGTATGACAAGGTATTATTCTAATAAGATAAAATCACAAAAAAGGTAAGTTCTTCACAAAATCAAATTCCACATATCACCATATTAAGAACATGATCAAATATGATACAATCACAAAAAAAGGCCAATTCTTCACAAAATCAAAAACCATATTGCACCATATTAAGACGTGCCTTTTGTAGCTGATAATTTTCTTTAGATATGCTTCCAAACCCTGGTGCAGCCACGAAATTCTTGATCTCAATCAGTAAGAAATAGCAGCATTTTGAAGGTGAAAATTCCAGGTGCAGGCTCAGACATTATGCTTCTAAAACTTTCCTCGTTATTCTCATGTATTGCTTTGAGAAATGAGGGTTCAAAGAAGTCTGTAGCATGCATGCTATACAGCTCTTTGTGAAGTGGCTGCAGAAAGGAGACAAGACTAAGTTACAAGAACTCTGGCATAGAATCCAAAGGGCCACCCCAAAGATGAGCAACATGCCAACATCCCCAGGAGAAGTGCGTATCATAATTCAGTGTACATCAAAATAGGATAGCCATCATAGCAATTTTTTAGAAAATAAGCAGAATAGCAAAGCTAGGGAGGATTCCAATGGAGAAGAAAGCTTTGGATTCCAAAGGATTTGAAAGTAACAATAGACGATATACCTAAGCATAGATAACCAAACTATGAGAGCAATTAATATAAATAAATACATTTCAGAAAATAGAAACATGGAAATACCTTTCAGCTGAACACTGAGTTTTAGCATGTTACGGGGCACTTTTTATCAGCCACGATAAAAGGCAAGTTGTACGTACAAAACACAAGTTGTTCAGGCATTTTGTCGAACACCTTATGTACAATTAATCCAGCAAAAAATTCAAGAAAATGAGAAGCCCAGAAAAAAGAACTAATAACCCAAATTCACTGATCCATTGTTGACACAAACATGTCGGCTTATTCAGATCGAAGCATAAACTTAAAAAAGCAAGAAACTTAACTCTGGTTAAATATAAAGATCATGCGAATTACCATAGGCAATATGCTACTTGCAGTTTTCTCTTTAGACTCCTGGAAGGGTGACGCAGAAAAGGTATGAATCATTGGATCCAGCAATGTTCATCAGTGGCCAATGACAGGACCCACCAAACCCTTTGACGCACAACCTGTCACTGCATAAGCATTTCTGTGGTAGTGGCAGCGACAGCTGAAGGTGCCATTTGGTCCCCTTTTGATGCAGCAGATGGAGTGAGTGATGAAATCCTAGGTTGAGGACATCGTGCAGACTCCACATCCTAACACAAGATATTTGAGTCTAAGAAAATGGGAGGTACATATTATGGTAACCAGAAATAAGTAAATAAATACTACTATATACCTTGAGGTCGAAGAGCACTTCCTGATTTATCTGAACTGCTGCTACCAGACTCTAAGATGCGGTTAATTGTATCTCGGAGTGTCATGTTCGGCAGAAGGTGATCTGCAAGTATCCCTCTTGCTCCACAAACACACATTGGTTTTGTAATGATATTATCCCCAATGCCTGTCAAGTTCAAAGAAGAAAAGTTTAGGAAGCTAAAAGTTATATGCAACAGTTCATCACGACAGTAACGACTCCATTCCAATTCTACCACAGGTTAAGCTTCTAATACATCAAGCCATTTAAATGCAACAAAAGTTTTGCAATTTACATTAAAATCATTGAGAACAACATATCCTAGCGGTGTGACCGATGTACATAGCATGCGCATATGCCAATATAATTCATATATGCAAAAACAACACGCAAATAAACCCTCATTTTTCAATTCAGTCTAGCGCTCAAGCATAAAACTAACAACCATGACATAATCCAGAAAACGACAGCAGACTTAAAGAAGATTAGGGTTTTAAATTCATCTAAAACAATCAAGATGAATTCGAGACAATAAAAAGGTTGAATATGATTCAAACATCAACTGATTAACAACAAAAAATAATCCTTAAAAAATATGTTTATACACTGAAAAATCACCCTAAATTATACCCAGAAAAATCGCCCAAAATTATACCTAGAAAAAGCGCCCAAAAAAAAAAAAAAAAAAATTAAACCCAGTAAAATCACCCAAGATCTAATGAAAATTGAAACAATATGCATTAAAAAAAAACAATAAAAACAAATAGAAGTAATAGATTGAAAACCCCCAAAACCCATAACACCACCTCCAACATCAGCAATCCAACAAACAATCCTAAAATCAGAAACAATTAACAGCCCAGAAATTGGAATCAAGCAATTAACAATCCAACCTCTTCTCAGAATTCAGAAATTGGAATCAAAATTAGCACACACAATTAACAACCCAGAAATTTATGACCATAGATTGTACCCAAGGACAAAGGACACATTCATAGCATTAGTCATATAACCAAGAAGACAGTGGCTGGTCTCCTATAATTAACATAGTCATATGATTGAGAACAACACATATATATAGCATAGTACCCATTTCATAACATTAGTCATCATAACAAAGAAGATGCTATGAAGGACTTGATACCAAGAAGCCTTGTAAACCAGTTCAGTTGTCCGCTAATTTCCTGACTCAGTCGAGACACAAGTCCACGATTTCCTTACCAACTGCATGAATACCAACAGAAGATAAAACACTAAAACCAGTTTCCCTTGACCACAAAAGGAAAAACTATAATCAAATAAGAAATCGACATTACAATATGACAAGGTATTATTCTAATAAGATAAAATCACAAAGAAGGTAAGTTCTTCACAAAATCAAATTCCACATATCACCATATTAAGAACATGATCAAATATGATACAATCACAAAAAAAGTTCAGTTCTTCACAAAATCAAAAACCATATTGCACCAAATTAAGACGTGCCTTTTGTAGCTGATAATTTTCTTTAGACATGCTTCGAAACCCAGCAAACACATACTTACTCCAATTCGATCTCACAAAATTGTCTCGCTTCAATTGCTCTTCTTGGAGTTTGGCAAGACTCTTTTCCAATAGTTTCTCTACAAAAGCTTGAGATGTGCTGAGTTTTTGAGACACTGATTGGCTTACCAATTTGTCTGTAGCTTCTCCTTTATGATGCAGCAGTCTTAAACTGCAAGAAAATTTGGCATGAAAGTGTAAATGATCCAAGCAGTGATAGTCATTGACAAAAGAGTTACAAAAATTATATCTTAAAAAACACTAAATCCCCCATAATCATGACTGAAGAAAAGCAACGTAGTCTAGAATACATATATGACACTCAGGAGAAGGCAGATACACCTGTTTACTTAGTAAGACAAAGATGAAAACCTGTTAATATTGAGAGCATTATCACCACCTTGTGGCTGATCAAATGTTTCTATGCTAGGTGACAAAGAAGTGAAGCTGATTCAATTTACGGAGCATAGGTTGAAGGGGGTAGCAACAATTACCTAAGGTATTTTAGAACTTGATGGAACAACCAACAGAGATGATACGAGTACCTTGTTGCGTTCTGAGAATGCCTTCATGAGCTCATCATAAGCCTACGGACAAAATCAGCAAAATCATATAATCAAAACCTAACAGAATAGTAATATGCCACTGATATAAAATAAGAAACGAAAAGTGATAGAGGTAGGATGCCTACAGTCAAAGCAACAATAACCCTAGTAAGGACCAAAGAAGTTCTCCAACCAAAACCATAAAGTCCCCATAAAATTGCAAGCTGAACAAACTCTAATCCTATTCTTTGTTACTATTAATCCCAGAAAGGTACCTACCAAAATACATTTTGTGACATAAAAATTTGCAGAAAAAATCGAAGGTCCAAATGGAGATAATAGAGAAGACGAACATGAATGTTATTTTCTGAACTTGCTTTGCTCCCTGCCTGAAAAGGAAAATTAAAAAAAAAATAAAAAAATCGTTCAATCAAATTTTGCTCTGTAGTAAATTTCCACATGCAAATTTATAATTCTCATCTTCCACTATTAGTCAAAACTCTTCAGAGTCGCAAAAAAATAACCATATGATGAGCTTCATTTAAGATCTTTACAAGAACAATTGAAATGAAAGTATGGAGACATTTCATAGTTCACCATTAAAACACATATTTCCTTCAAAACAGATCATCAATCACTCGAAGCAATAAATTTCTATATAAGCTTCAATATAGAGCGGAAGAAAAACCAATACCAATCTTCAGATAAGTGTAATCATATGAGTATGACACTACGCATAACTTATTATGTGTGTAACGAAAACCCAATCAATGACCAGTCTGGAACAGCTGCTTCCAACATAGACAACATCAAAGTCATTGGAGAACTTTGCTTCATCACTTAGTCCATCCACATGACGCCTCTAAGATTCTTTCTGCTAGCAATTGTCTTGACTCCTGGAATCAGAAGCTCAATTACTAACAATGGTCCACACAAACATAATAGGCTTCAAGCTAATCTCATCGTTTCGGTATGAAAACAATAGAACCTTCGGCAGACCCTTTTCGAAGGGGGAAGATTGGTCTCGGTCCTAGCTGCGGTTGGCCGAGGGATTCCTGCACAATAAACACACATAAACTGGCCTCGGGGAGTTGTGCCGAGGAAGTCAGTAATGTATTTAGAGTCGTGCAAGAATATTAGTTGCTTGAGGCTTTGAGAGTAAAAGATTACCGAGAGTGAATGAATTGAAGTCCCTTGCTTTGACTTACTTGGAGGTTTTTATACCTTGACATGATGGATAAGTTGGGCTTGCCAAGCTGACTAGGCTTGACTGACTTGGCATTGAATTTGGAGAGTTGAACCTTGTTTTGGGCTTTAAATTGTATCATTTGTGGACTAGCCTAATTGAGGTGAAATTGGATCCAAACAACTTGCCCCCCAAATTCGATTCGGAAGAATGACGGGTCGGGTTTTGACTTGCAAAATTGGAGGGAAGAAAATGATGGTAATTTGAATTTGAGTGTAGGTAGTTAATGAGGTGGTAAATGTCGTTTTTGGGAGAATAATTAGGGAAGATGGAAGGTTTAGTGGGTAGTTAATTTTGAGAAGGTGTTTAACGGTTGCATTGAAGCTGAGTTCGTGGGGCTTTAAGCGGTTCAGATTCCCAGAAGCTTGTTCCGGAAATTTATTTAAACCACTCCTCCCACTTTGTCTCTTTATTTCTTGCAACTCCATTCCCGTTCTTCACTACCGCCACTTCGTACCCGATTTCCCTTTTCAATTATTCTCTGCAACCCCGAGACTGAGACTGAAGTTCGTTGCCCCGATCATATAGATCGGCGAATTCCACGTCTGATAGAGGTAATTGTCTATGAAACTTGTTCGGATTTCACTGGTTTTCAAAGCTTTCCCCTTTTTCTTAATTTTTCGATTTTTCGCACTTCCTTTGCTCAAAAATGGCCAGTGACCGAGGAAAAAGTCCCATGGAATCCGGACCAATTGTTGAGGAAGAGGAGGAGGAGATGCCGCAATTGATTCCGAGGCGGAATCGCCCTTTGGCAATGATGCCATTTCTCAGCGGCCAGAACCCTAATGTCAGGGCTGAAGCTGTTGTTGTCCAAAGGGGAGCTGCGCTGAGGGTTGTGCCCATTTCCAGCATGCCCTCGAGAGACTCGGAAGGAGCCAGTATCTCTGGCCGAAGTGCGACCTCGGCATCTAGGCCGTTGACTCCCGAGGAAAGGGAGTGGACTGATGTCCAGGAGAATGAAGGCATAATGACGACTGCGCTTTATTCATGGTGGATCAAAAACGATGCCAAGTATTGCTTTGCCGAACAACTTGAGGTGTTCTACGGCATAATGGAGGAGGACGGGTATTGGTGCTGAATGCCCTCTGCCGAATAAAGAATTCGTCGTCCCCCACCTAGATATATTGGGGTTTACACTCGGCAGCTGCAGTACGGGCTTCGGTTTACCGTCCACTCTTTTGTTGTGAAGCTGCTGAACAGGTACAACATTTCTTTGGCTTAGTTGACTCCCATTAGCATCCGAAGGATAATGACCTACCTCTGGGTCTGCTTATTTTATGAGCTTGAGCCGAGCGTGCACTGCTTTCGCTGCACACATAAGTTGATCCCGAACACCTAGTCCAATAAATGGCAGGGCCCTGGTTGGTGGCAGATTGAGGACAAAAGGGGTTTCCTTTCGACTTATCCAAATGATACCTCGGATAAGGATTGGAGGGGGCAGCGGATCTGGATTCGGGCGCCATCAGACGAAGATCATCCAAATTACTTCGGCGGCCCCCGATACTTAAGGAAGCCAGACCCTAAAATGTTCAGCATCGGTCCTGATGAGTTCACTTATCTCTTTCGATCAAGCTAATCGTTGCTTTCTTGACTTTTTCAGAGCTGTGCGAAGAAAACTCGGGCGTTGATTACGAAGTGCTTGGGATCAGCCAGGAAAGGAATCCGATAAAAAACACCCCGAAGATCACTGATTCGAAGGACCGGGCCTTTCACCCCGCATCCAAGGAGACTTCTGACAGGCTAAAGTCATATCACCTAATTAAAAGTAATTCCTAAAACCACTAACTAAAATAGATAGGGAAGTAGGGTCGAATCCACAGAAAAACAGGTCTTTCTATTCCTAATTAATTCATTATAATCTAAATTATCGAGTAACCAATTTATATTGTGGGAATTAGACTAACAATTAAACTAAGGGAATAATCATTAATAAAAGGCCAAGGGTATAGGTTCACCAATAAATAAAACTCCTGGGTAAAACACAACGATCAATCATCAATGCATAAATTAATCAGATTATAAAAGGCTTTCGCTACGTATTATAATCACATAATTAATCTACCGGTATTAAATCGCATATCTCGAATCTTGACTTAACCATTTATAAATTAACCTGCCTATTGAAATTAATTTAAGCCTAAACATCAATTCTCATCTCTCGAATCTCGAATCAATATTGCATAACTCATATGATTAAACCAGGCCTAATCTAATTGCATAGCATTAAATCAATCAATAGGAAATTAATCTGAAACATCAACAATCAACAATAATAAATTACCCCTTCATATTATTTATGGATCCCCACAACCCTAGAAAATAAACTACTCACACATATTAAAATCTAAACTAAGCAAAACAATTAAACAAAACATATTAAATCAAAGCAATTAAATTACTTAAAATAAAGAAGGAATAAATCGTTACCAAAGTAAACGGAAGTAAAGAATTGCATAAACTAAGAGTATTAATTAAAAACTTAAAACTAAAACTAAGGAATTAAACTCATGGAAGAAGGTGCTCAAATCTCGCTTCAAAAAGCGTATTTATACTTAAGCTCAAAAATCCTGATTAAAGAAGAAATAAAATTGCCAAAATTCCTATTGAAAACACGCGCCCGATCAGGCAAGGCTTTGTCCGGCCGGGCGCGCCCTTTTCTTCTTTTAATCTTCGCTCGCGCCCGATCGGGCACGAGATAGGGCGAAGCTTCGGCCTCTCCTTTATACTTCGCCCGGCCGGGCGTGCCTCAGGGCGAAGCCTACCTGGTCGGGCGAGCCTTTGGGCGAATGGAACCTCCACTTGGCCTATTCAATTGGGCTATTTTCTTAGCCCGAACGAATTTCCTCTTAAGTCTTGAAACACGGTCCATTGCCTCGAGCTCTTTTTTCTTCACCGAGCCCTTAATCATGGTTTGATTTCTCTAACGCGACCTTGGGCTTCGGAATGTGGTCATAATAGTGCATTCCTACTCCAATGCTCGTAGTGGCTCCAATAAGACTGGGGAAATGCTCCAAATCTGCAGTTTCCTGTAAAATAATACCACAACTACGGAAACGCTAGAAAACGCACATTAGTAATAAAAGTGGCTCCGTAGAGCTCATATAAACACAATTATGACCATTGGGACGGGGAATAAATATATATAAAATAGACTTATCAAACTTCCCCAAGACAAAATTTTGCTTGCCCCTAAGCAAAACAATGAACAAATAAATCAATACTTCACCCCAAATACATTTCCAACCAATAAATACGATTCAAGGCAAATCCGATAAGCATGTATCAAAGTCAATCAATCAAATCCATTCAACTACCAATCTTCCCTAACAATTGTCAAATAGAGAAAACCACAAGAGCATATAGAATTCAAGTAGTGCTTACACACTCAACTCTCATTTATGTGGCGAGTAAAAGATGTACTCGATCGCTCACCAACCACCCCTTTATATGTGAACAATGCCCTCCCAACTCACGCACTCGTGCGTTTAAAAGACATACACTCAACCTAGTAGTCGACTCGGAATATGTCAAATCATTCTTTGCATTGATAAACAACTAGTTTCACATTCATATAACACTATGCACAAAGGTCGGAAGGTCTTCAAAGCTTGTAATGTAAGGCTATGGTAAAAGGGTAGGAAATATTTGGGAAAATGTGAGAGTAAGGCCATGCTTAAGGGAGCCAAATCCTAATAAAAACAAGATCAAAAATAAATAATTACCAATCATCTCCAACACAACTCAACTCTACCAAAAATTCACCAAACATCCAATTATATTAAAAATTCCCAACACTCACAACTTCACTCATAAAATATAACAATAAGGCAATAGAGTGATAAACAATATTTGAACTCTTTTTTTCTTTGTTTTGATCAACCTTCATTTGGAACAATTGAACATTGAAACAAATTTTTTTTCTTTTGCTCTTTTTTTTTTCTTTTATCTCACATTGGAATTTTTTTCAACTCTGAACAACAATATCTCAATTTTCCAATCCACAAAAATAAGAACAAATAGATAACTTCTCAAATTCACCCACATTGTGCAAATTAAGTGCACACTACAACTCCCTCACCTCACTCACTAATAGCTCCCCCAAGCCAAGCTTGGGACTAGTAACCAACGCGGCAAAAATAGGCTTGTAATGTGGCTAAATAAACAAAAAGGGTACAAGCAACAACATGGGTAACAAGAAGGGAACAAATGTATCTAAAATCATCTGAAGGCTACCTAAGAGAACAAATGCCTTCGTCCTCCGCAATGTGAATAATAATGAGTCATACAAACATTACTCATAGTTAAAAACCAATACTCAACATCATTGACATACCAGGAGCTAGCACACATTCTTAGCAAAATCAACTAGTCAAGCACTATGTTCACAAGTGGTTGGGAAAAGTTGACTCATGTTAAGGTTTCAGGGCAATCAAACATCAAA